CTCAATGTTATCATTAGTAATTCTTAATTCAATTTGTTTCAGCCTTTGGCTGCTATTTTGAATGTATGCTTTGTAATCAATAAAACCACTTCAACAGCGACTATACTAGTCTGCAAATACAGCTCCATGTATATATCCCAGTAGACCACTTCAGACTAAAAGCCCTATTCACATTTGAACATCATGCTGATGCGAAGGGATTGTGAAAATCACTTTCATGACATGCATTAAATTCTTTGTTTTATCTAAAAGATTACATATGGCATGACATTTCTTTGACATTATCATTAGGTAACGAGTCTCTACCTTCATACAAAAATCGCTTGTTCCATATGGTACATCATATATTACAAAAACAAAATATCATACTTCGTTTCCAACAATACCATTATCAGTGTGATGGTACAATATAATACGACCCATCAACCTAGAAGTAGAAATATTTACTCTCTCTGCATACATACATGTACCTTTTGGTAGGTTCACAGACTTTAAGTGCCAGATTAAGTCAAATGATTATAATGTTAATCTATCATATAAATCATTCGGTATCATGGTATATTTACCTCACAACAAAAGGCCCGTCTTCACTATCTCGAGATTGCCAAATATCCAGCTAATTTGCGTCTTCTTTAGACCGAAGTAGCAAATTAGCTGGATAGTTGGTCGGGATAATATCCCAAGATATCTCGGTCTAGATTGCAAAATATCCCACGATTTTCGGCGCACATGCGATCTATACCACTCAGTGCGCTAGTACAACTAGTAAACACAAAAAAAACAGAAATCGTTGTGCATGACGGGATCGGGATATTTGACTCCGTACTTCTGTCTAATGAAGACGGTCGCAAACTATCCCGCTAGTTGGGAAATAGTGGGATATTTTGCAAACTAGACCGGGATATTATCCCGACCAACTATACAGCTAATTTGCTACTTCGGTCTAATGAAAACGCAAATTAGCTGGATAGTTTCGATCGGGATAGTTCAAATAGCTGGATATTTGGCAATTTCGAGATAGTGAGGACGCGCCTACAGTAGAAAAAAACAGAGAACCATCTGAATTCATTTCTTCTATTCGCAGATTATCAAAGACGACCTTGGCAATCATATGCTGCATGGTTTTGGAATAATCAATAGATTTGCACCAGAAATATCGACTGAAATTGTATTCACGAAAGGGCAAAGACGCATGTCTGTGTTTCTGACATTCGAACAATCAAAATGAGAAGACAAAAGAAAAAGAAAACAACAATTTTTAATTTAATGTCAGGGAATTGAGGTCAGCTAGTGATCCTCTCTGTCTCAAACAGAGTTACTCACACATTAGCCGGTGAAAGGACATTTACTGTATCTGCTTCAAAATACTGGAATGATCTATCACTTAAACTTAGAGAGGCTCCATCAGTTATTACCTTCAGAAAGGCCTTACTTTTTACTCCGTTATATACAATGTGAATGGACCAAGTTTGTATATATGTCACCCATTTAGAAAGCATTTCATCAAGCAAGTGATAAATTCATTTGCCTTTCGGAGGCAGTAAAGTTCATATTATTTATACATACAAGTAAATCAAAATGCAGCTGTTATCATTTCCTCCAGTAACAAAAATCAGCGGTTGTGTTCACATTCTGTCATATCTTCCAGGATTTTTGTTTGTTATTATTTTTTAAATTGCATTATTATGTATAGAGCTTTGGAATAATGGTCATTCAATTTCTAGTCTGGCCCACACATGATATCAGAGATATAGTAATAGGAATGCCCCCCCCCCCCTCCTCCTCTTTTGAATGAAAAAAATGGGCTAAACTCACTAAAACTACACTATGGCACAAATTAAAAGAATGCAAAATTTCAAACAGTAAACTGCGATTTTTAATCTTATCATATTCATTTTTCTATACATAAATGATTTTTACAAGCCGATCCCTTGTCTGATTATCAAGATATTTATGATTTCATCGAAACCAAATTTTGCGTTTGCCTAACAGTTTCCATAACACTACAGTCTCTTGGGGAAAACGAGTATGGTAATACCGGTCACTCAAAGATTTTTACTTTTTTGAGGCACTTCTTGATCATCTTGAAGCGCAATTTTGTTTAGGGCTTCAATATTACACCATATCACAGACACTGATAACACGTAGGGCCGTGCATCTCAAATTTAACATTATTTTAACGATGCCTTTAAACTAGTACTGCAAATGTGGACGTGTACTACTCTCACTCAAATCATACTTTTATGGAAGCTCGTAAATGGTGGAAGGGGGAATTTATGACAGGCACTATTGTGATTATCTTTTTGCCCCAATTTCTGACTACAAATTCTGGAAGTTCTGTGGAAGCACACCAGAGAGAAAAATGTATGAATATCAGTGTAGAAAGTACTGTCACTGCTGTCCTTGTGTAATGAAATATTCTTATGCAACTTGGTTGATAGATGATAGTTAATAATAATAATAACAATAATAAGCCGTATTTCAATATCTCTAGCTTTAGATAAAGTTACTGATAATTACACTATATGCATGTTTCTTCGGTATGTCTCTCACTTTTCCTTCCTTTTCCTTTCTTCCTTTTCTTGCGCTTAGAAACATTGTTATTAGGTGCATTATAAATATAATGTATTATTATTATAATTATTATTATGCATAAAGACTGTGTAGCCTATGGCTATGTCTACAGAATGTCCTTGGAGTCTGGTTGACACACATATTGACAAACAAAGTGTCAAATATATCACCTTTTACAAAATTTACAAATCCTACATATTTGTTGGCATGGTAGAATCGATCATTTCTAAGCAATCCAGTCCAAACTGTAAGCATTGACACTTTAAAGTGTTAAGTACTTCCCCCTGCAGTGTACCATATGGAGAAAGTAACAGAGTACTGGTAGTCCCATTTTTTTATATTTTTTTTGCAAGCTCAGTCTCTCATTCAAATCACGATGAATGAATATTATGGGGTGATGTAGAGAATAAATCCCTGGGAAAAGAAATACCTGGGAATTTGTTTCTATGCTGGCATGCTCGAGACCTATTGTGAGACATAAGAGATTGTACTGGAAATGGATATTATATGCCAAAACTCCACTGACATATGATATTTCATAACTGGCCTTGGACTAATATTCAAACATTCAAACTATTTGAATAGCTAATACTACTGATCAGCAAAAGAATATCATTTTTTCCATGACAATCCTATTAGTAATTGTCTCAGTAATAATATCTTTGTTGTTTTGATAGTCATTTTTATCATATTTTGTCTGGTGTTTTGTGACTTCTTTACTTGTGTGCGACGTGCGAAATATGGCTTGCTATTTCGGGTGTACTTAAACAGGGGATTTATTTACCTTCTACTAATAAATGCAGTTGTTGAGTTCTAGGAAACTGTTATTACCATGATAACTTTTCCTATAACTCCTCTTTGGAGCCAAAAGGCGTTAACTATTAATAACAATTTATATTTCAACACTTTAATAAATACAGTTTCAGAAATGTGTCATTGAATATCATTCTCTCGAGCTGGCTTTATTAGTAACCTTGATGAATATGCAGGCAACCCTGATAGATGAAAGAATACCACAATTATCAGGATTAACACATTATTTCAGTTCCAAAATTCATCTGTAAAGAGCCTTGCTTGAAGGCATGCAGAAATACCCTTATCGATCAAGATCATCTCGATAACATTCTAGTCCCAAATCCACACTTTTTCTCCCCACTAGGCATTTCCAAGTTTGCTACAAACACATCCCCATTTAGACTAACAGAACTTGACATATAGCTACATAAAAACCATATGGCTAAATGATATCAAATATATATTTTTATTTTTTAGTCTACAACATTATGGAATGAACTATTGTGCAGATAACATGAGATTTGTGCATAGTTTATAGCAAGAACTTTGATGAGTAATCAAGGTCTAATATGTAATGCCCACGTGAACATTGTATTGAATAATTACCATTTCAATTCAAGTGCATGATAATGGTACTGGCTCTCTGATATTTCATACCGACTAAAGATGACATTAAAAATACTGCAAATGTTGATCTATCCAAGAGAAGAATCCTAACACGATGCTCCTTTACATATAAAACTCTTCAATATCCTGTGTGTAATTCCCTTATGCTATATGTAATATGTGACCCTACAAACGTTTCTTCAAACTAATATCGTATAAATATCCTCTGGTGTGAATGACCCAATACATACTGCTCTCTATCAGTTTCTTCATGGATACATAGGATTATGAGCGAGCAACATGACTGGAAAGATTTCTACGCCTTTTGGCTGAACTTTGCCGCTGTTCCCATGACAATAGAGCGTCGATCTGTTAACGATTATGCCATTCTTGACAGCTGGGACATCGCCATCAGATAATTCGCTTATCTCAAGGGATAAGTTCTTTCGGCAAGCTCCAATTGTGGTAAACAATTTTCTGCTCATCTTAAAAAGGTATTTAACACTTTAACAAGGAGCTGCTAAGCAAAATTTAACCCAAACTGTTACGGATTGTTAGATGATAAAGAAAAACGATCCCAGTCATTCCCTTTAATTTCAGAAACTCACAGCCATTTTAGTTGTCATGACTAAAATAAAAGTTTTGTTTGTGCTAGTTAAACATTTTGCTAGTTGAACAGAATCCCATTTTCCCAGGCAGGCATGTTTTTCCCAATTCTCTAAGATTTAGTTGACTTGATTTATCCTTGTCTATCATACAAGCGACCACTGTTACACAAAGTTTCATGGAAAACTGCACATTTTACATTTACCAATGTAAATATTTTTTTTCCCAGGATGCAGTGCAGGATTAAGGGATATTCCATAATGTCCTACCTCGAGCAATCTTTAGAGAACATGGTTTTGGAGAAAATGTCATTTGTTATGGTTAACCACATTTCATTATAAAAGCAAGTCAAACACAAACATAAATGTTGGCAACAGCTTAAACACGGTTCCGCAAATAATTAACAAAAATCGTCTTACCTCAAAAATCTTTTCCACTTCTTTATGTTTACTGTGACCTTGGTGAGTACCCTATAAAAAGAGGGAAAAAATACACAATGTCAAAGGTCATCCTATTTCGTAGCCTGCTGAGACAAATGAAACCTGTATAAAGAAACATATTTGCATGTTTATTTATTCTTTATAGAGAATAATCAAATAGCAAAACATGCGTACACACTGAATAACAACATTGTATAAAGAAATTAAGGAAATTTAAAAACCTATCCTAATTTACTCAAAAACCATGGAATTATGTTCCATAACTTTACTGAGCATGTACAGTTCCATCCATAAAGGAAGGAACAGAAAATACTCTACTCTAGAACATTATCAATTGTTAAAAGTGGTCATCATCACAAATTACAGGAAATATGTATGTATGTATGTATGTGTAATTGATATATTTGGTAAATTATCATATCGATCCGGCCTGGAAAGATATCGCAATTGCACTTCAACATTGAACATCTGGGTATATATTTCTGCTTTTTTGCGAATTTAGGTTGAAGTATTGCCATCTAAACCTCTGAAGGCAATATTTAAACAATATTAAATGGATATTTTGCACCCAAAATCCTAATTGAACCGCGATTTTACCACTACCAGCCTTTACCTTTAAAGATAAAGACCAGTTATGGCCATGCGATTACATTGTAAAAGAAACGTTGTGGAATCGATCAGAAAAGTTTGATCATTTAGCATATGTATTGGTGTGTACTGCAAGGTTCTGGAATCATCAAACTGATAAGAAATTTGGCCCAATCTTGGTCAAGTTACAAGCACTGTACACAGAAAGATATCTATCAGGTCCAAATAGATATAATATTTTACCAAATATAACAATTAGTAGGCGGTTGCTCAGGAAACTTTGTATCATTACGTATTAGTCAAAACATATTCTTTCACATGATTGGTAATAAGTGCTTCCATTTCATTTTTTGAGAGGGGGGCTTTTCCAAAACTGGTCTTTACCTTTAAAGTAGGCCCATAGGCATCATGCTATCATCTGTAATACACTAAGGAGTACATTAAGGACTATTACTACATTAGTGCTGAATTTGAAACTGAAACCGTTTATCAGTGTGCACATACCTTATCTCACATACCATCATGCCCTTTTTCAATTATCATTTCTTCTCATCAATAAAATGTTGAATACTCCAAGGGTATATCTGCCCATGGAGGGGCGATAAAAATGTCAAAGCAACGCAAGATGTTGAGAAACAGGTGTCAGAAACATTCATTGATTCTTAATAGTAAAAGAACAAACAACTATGAAACATGAAAATGTTTTTACATGGCATAATTATAACATGTAGGTGGATTAGGGGTTGTCAATGTAGTCCTACCTAAATGAACATAGCAGTTTTCTTCAACACAATGTTGGCACTGTAAGCATTGTACAAACAATGTTAACATTAACCTTCATCTTATTCATACTTTATGGTGATTGGGCTCTGGTCTATTTTAGATTTTAATTGTTTATACAAACATCCATTATCATGGAGAGCGTTGATGAATTCTGTTGCATTAATCGTATTGATTGTACATTTTGTGATGATCTAATTAAACTGAACGAAATCATTTACCAAGTATAGTGCAAGGTCACCGTAAGGCGTAACCCAATATCATTCAATTTTTCTTCCCAGATAATTGGTTACGACCTTACGATGAGCTTGCACTATACATGATTTTGTTCAGTTAATTTGATCATCACAAAATGTGCAATCAACATGATTAATGCAAAAGAATTCATAATTGAATGATATTAGTAGCATTTTATACAGAGGGTTGACACCCCTCCCCCCCCCCCAACACACACACACACACATACACTTTCAGATAGGCTTTATGACCTAGTTTGCAGGCAAAAACCCTTCTCAGTTGTTGTCCATAACAGTGTCTGCACAATGAGACTAAAAAAGGATCTGTACTATAGCGACCCTTGATTGACACAGCCAGAGACTGACATATCTAGACTCTGCTCAAGGCTTTAGGAATTATGGTACAGTGTCAAACTAGAGCCTGTGTTTGGAGACTAGGCTTAACCCATGGTCGGGGGGGGGGGGTGCATTGAAAAAGGTCAAACCTGCAGGTCCCTGGTAAAAAAAAACAAAGGAGTACATGCATACAAAATAAATGTTGATTACAAAATAACCGTCCACTTGGACACATTTAGCTCTTGAAAGCTAATAGCAAAAGTAATGTTTTTACAATTATTTTTGGTACCTAAGAAGTACAGTAAGTAGTACACATCTTATTTATTTCATACATTTTATTTAATGTTTACACCCCAATCAGTATACATTTCTCATAGATTCCATTCTTCACACATTTCTTTGAAAATATGCCCCTTGCTTGGGTGACTGGACCAAATGGCACCTTAAGAAGGCATGTACAATGTAAACGACAGTCGGCTAAAAGTTATTCAAACATATTCAATTATTGAATTACAACAACAAAACCCTTTCTCACTGAAAATCTTCTTCTCTCACATGAAGCTCTTCTTGCACACACCAAGGGGTAATTAACCTGACGAATATGAACAATTCACAATGAACCCAAGGTCTGTTCGTCCAGACCATGATGAGTCAACGATTCGCTGGTTATCGTGTCGAAACATGCACACTTGTTGACCTGGTAACGGTAGGAGTGAGACCGCAAAGTTGTGGAATCGCTCAAAGCAATGTTCACATGAATTATCAATCCCTTCTGTGACACCAAAATTTATTAAAAAAATATCAAAAGAGCGATTCCCTATAACGTGTCCCACAAGCCATAGGTCTTTTTCCCACCTATTTCATCTAAAAGGAAGAATATCTTGATATGACTATTAAATGTTGGTGCTCTTTGCTTTCACTAACATTTGTTATAATTTTATCAAGAGATATTTCATTTTAGAATTAAATATGGAGATAAGCAATATGTTGTATGGGGACACACATTCCAATAAATATTATTATTAATATTATTGTTAAATTGGGTTCAAATTTGCCTACATAGGAAAGATTGTATACAATGTATACGTGTAGCATGATCAGGAAGAAAACAATTGCAATTTCTTGTCCAAATGTACAGAAGAATATTTATATTCTTAGGTTGGATTTGTAGCTCTTGGCCTGGAAGGTTGTTTTTTCAAAAACTCCACACTGATCTGCATTTTTTTTTTAAAGAAAATCTTGGACATCAATAAATGTCCAGGGCAACTAATGAATGCATCAATGCAATATGAACTATAAATCATAGTCGTAGGAAGGCTGACATTTCATCTATTTGGATCCTAAAGGGCATTTACTCATATATTTTGACATCTATTTATTCTCTAGCTCTCATGTCTCAACCAATTTTTATATATTTTTTTTAAAGATTTTATTTCTATTTTTTTTTTTCTTTAGCATTCTTGATTTTTTTTATTTTTTTTATTTTATGACGGCTCTAATATCACTGATTTTGCAGAAAAAATACTATTACTTCCTCCATTCATTCCTAATATCCAATGTCAACTCTTTGGAGCAATAAGGCCCAGGTTTAAAACCAGCTGGTTGATCTTACTTTCACATTCTTACTGTCCGAACCTTGAGAGTCTTCTCATTCTATTGTATCCCAAGTTGGCCACTCAGTATTCAAATTTGCATTTCTTTTCTTATTTAAAATCTTTATATATCAATTTGAAATCCAACTACCACATAAGTCTGTGAATATTGATGTGCATCCCCTCTTTCTTTTCTCTTCTTTTTTCTGTCTTTTCCCCCTTTTTACCAATATTTTGTTCTTCCATATTTGTATTATTATGTATCCTTTGAGGGTAGTCATACTATCAAGCTTTGCTTATTTTGTCAACCCTCCTGTTTGATGTTCTCGATTAGTTACACACAGCCTTACCTTATTCTACATATATTCTTTTGTCATGTGTAAATTTGCAATATTTGTTTGTTATATATTTGTAAAAATGCAAAAGAAAAAGAAAATCAAACAGAAATAAATAAATCAAATCAAATCAAATCAAATCAAATCTGTGTAAAAATAGTTCACTGTTATGCCCTTCTGGCTCTCAGCAGGTGATACATGTATGTCACCTCTGAATTACTCTCTCTGATGAACAATTACATAGCATGCAAGAATTTCAAAAAGTATCATTGTTTGACCAATATTTGAACAGTATATATATATATATATTATTAAGTAATTAAAATAATTCTCTTTTTTTAAAGAAATATCCTGTATCGTCTTTACAATTCCATTGCCTTATCTCGATGAGCAACTGTTAAGTCAATATCAACAACACACGCTCTATGAAAGTACAAATGTCATATTGTTTAAGGACTATTTACCTTTACTGTGGTCTTTTTTTGCTCCAATGAAGCTACGCTTCGTGCTGAATGCACATAAAGCTACATGTAGATTTATAAACGTTGAATTTATCTCTCTTTTCTTTCTTTTTTTACAAATTTAATGTAACATATTGGGTTGGTATAATGCCCTTCTGGCTCTCAGCTGAAGAAGCACACAGAATAGCTTATTGAATCCATTACAAAATTCACATACAGGATATATCTGGAAGAAACGACCTTGCACTTGCGGAGCACAATTTTGTTTTCTATAGAAAGAGCGAATTGACAAATGAAGTGGAAAGTAAAGTCAAATAAAGCGAGAAACCAAAACGCCATCCCTGACGTAAAGCTTCATATCAGCTCATGCTCAACTGAGCAATACTCCTTTTTTCGCCCGATACTATTTTTCTTTATAATTCCTTCCCTTCTTTTTTTCCAGTTAACTGGAATTCAATGAATACACCCCTGGCAATTCTTTTCCTAGAACGGAATGAGCTACAATAGTTTCATAAGACATGCCTAGAAATATCTCGAGCTAGACTGCATTCCCAATCAACAACAATCAAAATCAATGACATTTTCTATTAAGTCATGATATTTGCGGAGCCATGTTGCTATCTTTCCTAATGGATTTGACATTTGAATAGGGAATCCTCATAAGATCTATTTTGAGTTGAAGTATTTGACAAGTACTTTTCACTTCCACCAACCCCCAGATCCTTGATCTAGATAGATGCTTAATAATGGAAGGCGCATCACATTTTCACATTAATGTTATTATTTATTGGACAAGAAACTACTCATTCTTGCTACTGTATACAGCTCATGAATTCACCTTGATCTACATTTATCTAAAAAAAAATTGTGAGGATAATAATGGAGACAATTTTAGCAGAAGATGATGAATGGGAAATGCATCTCATTTTCATGCTTATGTTTTGAAATATAAATGGAGATTCTTATCTTAATATGTTAACTTTTTACAATACAAAAATCAATAACACAATCATCATTATCATTATCAATACCATCATACCTATCAACCTCCCGACAACCACAAAGAGTTTCATCATCATTATCATCACCATAGTCATAATCACTTCCGTAAGAAACACAACTCTATGCCTGGGGCCATGATGCTAAGGCATACATGCAGATTACCGAATATTCTAGAAAGAGCCAGTTCTATAAAAGAACATATCACCCCTCTTAGAACAGTGACGTTTACTAGAGTGTTTCTCAACGTCACCGTGACGTCATCTCTCTCCTTATGTCTGCGGGAGCTCTTCGTTTACAAGCACCCTAATGTGAACGGTGAGTAGGAATGAGGACCTTTGGCATGGTTTCCATCCTTCTGACACCCCTCTCCCCCCCCCCATCCCCTTCTCCCCCCCCCCCATCCCCTTTCCCCCCCCCCCCCCCCCCATACTCAACCTTTCCGACATCTACACTTTCAAATAAGAGCTACCCCATCGCAGAGCTTATATCTGTGTACCAACCAAACCACAAATCTGCAGATCTGAGAAACCACTCCTGTCCTTCCCTTTTCTATTTGCTGATTACCTCTACACTTCCTACAAGTGCCTACCAAGTCCATATCATAGACATATATAAATAATGCATCAACCAGAGGTCTGCAGAAATCTGTATATAGATGTAAGAAACCACTCCTAACCTTCTCTTTCCTATAATTTTCTAGCTACCTCAATATTTTTTAAGAGAGCAATAATATCCACCTGCAGAAGGTAGATCCATGGTATCTTTCTTTGTGTAGCAACTACAGATCGGCATAAATCTCTATTTTGGTCTAAGAAACTACTATACATTTGTTTTTTTATTGAACCAAGGAACGTATTGTTTTCGCATATCAAAATAAATGAGTAAAATAAAGATATGGTCATAAAACTCGAGTTTTGAGTGTCTGATTCTTCCCTTCGGATATTTCTACAGTTTATCCCTTTAATTTGATTATTCATTTTTTTGTCACCTTATAGTAAAAGTGCAAAAAATAACAAATCAAGAGGAAACAATCTGTATCGTACACTGAAACATTTCCCTAATATTTCTTCTGAGCTGTCAAACATGTCTCCAAGGTCACCTCTCTGTACAGGCCACTTGCAGTAATCTGTACTATCTACCTCTGCTGCAGAACCTGTCTAGAAAGGCTAATTGCATCCAGTAGCCAAGTTTGTCTCTCCTGGGTGGTGTAGACAGGTGTTTACTGACAGGAACTACTGTACTTTTATCTGTAAATGATCAATCCTGGGGGGTGTTTCACAAAGACTAAGATCAACTTTAAGTTGGACTTAACTATGACAGGCTATTCATTCCACTGGTTGCTCTCACTATTGGTCTCTCAATCATGATCTTTAGGTAATTTCTTCAATATTAAATGAACTATAAAAAAAATGCAAATTCTGAAGATTTGAGACCACTATTTATACGTCCCTTCAAAGAACAATGCCAGTAAATGGTAAGAGCAGACAGTGGCATGAACGACCTGCCATAGTTAAGTCCAACTTAAAGTTGATCTTAGTCTTTGTGAAACATTCCCCTGGTTTGCATTAGACTGAGGTGAAAAGAACTGTAGGCAAATTAACTGAGACAGTAAAAGACACATTTACGAAAATGTTATTACCTTTTTTGGAATATCCAGCCTTGGACGTTGCTTGGCATCTCCATCTCGATCCTTCTTCCCTTCTCTAGCTGGGTTAGGTGCGGATCTAGACTGGAAGTCAGCAATGATATCAGGCATGGGGGATATGAATGGCAGATCTCTGAGTGGACCAGAGTCCTTTTTACTGTGACCACCACTGGCCTGCTTGCTACTATCCTTCTGTTCACTTTTCGCACCACTCTGTTTCGGGGGATAGTTCGTAATACTGAGACACGTCTCTGTCAAAAGGCCGTTGGGGTGGAGAACCGTTTTGGAATCGGAGGCGTTGGAGTTGGAAGAGCTGTTACTACTCCCTCTACTGGCAGAGTTTGTTGTGGAGGGGCGAGAGCTCCCTGGCTTGGAAGTGGATGATGATGACGATAACGATGGCGTGCCATGCGGTTTGGATGACTGATTCGTTGATGCCTTCGGCTGCAAATTGCTCGATTCCGCAGAGCTACCCGATACTGGAGCCTTCGTTGTTGGTTTAACCCCAGAGGTACCGTCTTTAGACCGTCTCTGACTGCTATCCTTTGATTTCTCATGGTTGGAAGGGTGGGCAGTTTTAGAAGACGACGAGGAAGTCGTCGACGATGACGATGACAGCTGCGAAGCGGTCCCAGGCTCGCGCTTGACACCCTTGGAAGAGGATGATGAAGCACCAGCTGGAGCCGGCTTTGAGCTGCCATGTCGATGTGACGATGATCCCTCGGCTGGACTACTCTTTACCTGACTACTGGTTTTGCCACTGCCACTAGGCGTCAAGGAATGCTGTCCTGATGGCTTGGTCTGTCCATTGATGACAGGGAAGTGGCTGATGTTCTTGGTGTCTCCTGGTACAGGTGTTTGAGGCTGGTACTGTACACCATGCAAGCGTCCCAGTTCGTGTGGCTTTAAAACTTTAAAGTTGTCATAGAGGCCCAAAGTATTTTGGACAGTCCTGCTCAGATCGTCCTTGGTGTCAGACTGTAAAGGGTCATAAGCAGACGAAAGAAAAGATGTTAAACATTATTCTGCATGATGTTACATCATTGAAAACTTGTCTTTTCTGTGCTTATCTTCAAAGTCCTATTTCCAGCAAACTTGCCAGCAACAAGTGGCACTCTCACTTTCAAGTTTGGGTGTCATATATAGTATATTTGTAAAGCGCTGAAAGACATTTGTATTAAGCGCTATATAAAAGCTAAATATTATCATTATTATTATATAATTACTTCAAAAGAACAGAAACAAAGTTTTGATAAGCAATAACAGAATCTACAGCTGAAAAGCTGATCCCACCTGGCAATGACAAAAGCAGTAAATCATATGTTTACATACCTAAAATACTAATGATAAACATGGTCCCACGTAAATGATTTTGGCAACTCTAAATTGTTAAGGGTATGTCAATCAAACATGATGGACACTGCCTACAAGGCTTATTCTGACTTGCTGTTACATCATCTTTCCTAGATAAATTGTCAAAACAATGATGCAATAAAAATGTTGAGGGAGGCTAATTGAAACAGAACTCTTTAATATTAGTTGATGTTTGTTCATAGTTTTTTAAACATAAGCAAGTTGTTGAGGTACAAACTTCAATGATTTCCACGCAAATGGATGTTGATTTGGAAACAGCTTATTGCTATCATTATCTTGGGATACAATCAACAGTGGTGAGATTGTAGTGGCAAGAAGATGCAGATTGGGGTGGATGAAGTTTAGTGAGCTGGTAGAAGGTTTACAATGAGAATAAAAGGCAAGATCTATAACCCTTGCGTTAGAACAGCAATGGTAAATGTTTCAGAAACCTGGGATGTAAAGACAGTAGAAGAGGGTATCTTGAGGAGAACAGAAAGAGCCATGGTACAGAGGATGAGTGGCGTGAAACCGTCCAATAGAGAGAACACAAGGGAGCTCATGGAAAGGTAGGGTCTGGGAGATATTGTGGTGGAAGTGGTAAAGAGTGGATGGAGATGGATGGGTTATGTCTTGGAAAGGGAAGATGATAAACCTGCGTGGGATGTGGAAGAGGATAGCATAAGAGGGAAAGGAAGACTGAAGATTTCATGGAAATATATATATGGCCGAGAAGGAAAGCAGTAAGGTTGGTCTAAATGATGAGGATGCTCGAGACAAGAAGAAGTAGAGGTAGGGAGTGTCATCATCATGGCGTGAAAGTCAGTAACCCCTCATGAGAGGAAAATGCTGACTTTATTAATGATGATCATTATCACATGGGACCTGCCAAAATTTCTATATTTTTCTGTACTACAAAATATTCTGTTCATGAGAGTGCTCGACTGTTCTCTCTCTTATGCCTCAGTCACACCTTTGTGTATTTGGCTTGCGTATTGCTGCGTATTGATGGCAAGCCCTTTTAACATTTATATCTATTTCTTGATATCAAGAAATTGATATCAAGAATTACCATTGCTTTACAACAGAAAATCATTTCTTGATATCAAGAAATAGGAATAAATGTTAAAACTGCTTGCCATGAATACACAGCAATACACAAGCCAAATATGCAAAGGTGAGACTGAGGCATAAGGTACCTTACCTTGACAGGGGTTCCAAAGATTGGTCCGCATGAATCCTTCTTAATCGTTGGGGCTGGTACCCGTTTCCTTCGGGCCGCATCCCGGCTGCGATCTTGAGATTGGTCGCGCCCAGCCATTCTGTGACAGAAAAAAAACAAGGAAGAAATGTGAATGGATTTGAAGCAAGATCAATAAGGGATAAGTGTCATTTTTTTCGAGAAATACTCACACAGCTCCTGTATTTCCCTCATAGTTGACTAATAAGCCCGAGATAACAATTTGTTTTTTCCTTTGGGGGGAGGGAGGGGGTATTGCCTGTTGTATCAAATATGAAGACAGCTATAAGGAATTTACTTCACATACATGTATTTATGGATTAACAGGTAATGCCCTTCTAGTTTTCACCAGATCACATGCTATATATATTTGTTTCAGGTTTCATACATGTATCTGGTGTGATTTTGATACATGAGATGTAAAAGTAAATAAGAACATATGGCTAACAATCAATGGTTAAATCTACAGTATGATTAAAAAACAAACAAACAAAAAACATTAAAATACATCGTACATTGTACACACAGCAAACGTAAGCACTCAACATATCTGTAATAATAATAAGTAATAATTATGAACTGCCATATACCTACTCTACATTGTGTTTACATGAATTGAAAATAAAAAATAATAAAGGAGGTAATTATAACACAACTTCAGATAAAAAGAAGACATAATCACTTAACTCCTCAAAGTAAAATCATGATTTTGCAACGACGGGCCTAGCCTTTGTATTTTCCATTTCTAGTCCAGTGTCAGAAGAGCAAATATATGCCTCAGCATTTGAAAGACAGAGGGAAATGTATAAAGAGGGTTTTCTTGATCTTAATTTACTCAGCTGCCAGTATTCACACGCTCTTTTCTAAGACGGGCGTTTGGACGCCACTTGACGTTTTGCTGTGTCTTGATGATACATGTACATTATGATATGATTGGATAGACTATATTATGGTGTACGATGTAGTCTTGATCAACAGGCTTTTCTTTCCAGTATACACATGAGACTGTACAATGTACAGATAACTTTGCATACCCCGGTAAGTCAAAACTGCTGGGACCACAAAAAGTATATTGACTTATGCAAAATTTGACTTAGGATGTGTAAATAACACATTTTTTGCATGGTTTTTTTAATGTTTTTATTGATTAGACTTGGGGAAAATTTGACTTGTGCGACTTCAAGTCATGCAGAATTAATTTGAATTCTATATGCCATATTAGAAAAATATTTATCAAAATGAAGTCAACAATTTTGGGTTTCTATAATAATACATGAATAATCAAGCTTTCACAATTATGTTCCATTATCAATGTCATACAATCAAAGATGAAGAATTATACAATCAAGTCACAATATACATTTCCTATATTCAAACTGTTTTGTCTTTTTATGACTTTTTTCAGCTATTACATATTGCCCATCTAGAGACAGTCTATATATTTTACTTAATATTTTGAGAAATGTTCTCATTAGAGGACCTCAAAGTCCTCAATATAACCTTTAAACATAATGTAAAAATAACTTAATATTTGCAAAAAGAGCTCATTTTGACATCCTACCGCGCTTTAAACCATCACACTCAGCAAAGTAAGCATTAACGCATTGCATTTATGTGAACTCCTTGCAATATACATGTCATATTCATAGGCACACGCAGGAGTCAAGTTTGCCCTCACGACAGTTCCTCTTTTCCTTTAACACATATCCTGTTGTTACACATAACATAAGTACACGCTCTACAACCGGCCAGAGCACTCTATGTGCGAGTTCCCTTTACAGTTCCCTCGAATTTAGCCAGGGGGGGACCTCGAAAGTTCCTTTTCCTTTCGTGTCCCTATTTGTCATCTATCTCTCCCTTTGCCTTCTAAATTTCTGACATGGCACACTGACTGATTCATGCTAAAGTCCCGATGAATCATTACCTTTCTGACTTGAACGAGAAGACAACAACGTAACTGTAATACAGCAGCTGTATGTGAGACATTTTACAGCCTATCATGACCTCACGTTCAAACAAGACATTGTCTGAACGCTGAGAGCTACAATGGCATTGAATCATCATCCAAATTCAAAAGTAAATAGTTTTTTTTTATATTTCCAATCAAATATAAATAACCAAAAAGCTCACTAAATGAAGCTAGTAACCATCTATTATTATTTTTATTTACATTTTCAGATTATAACTCTGAGAAAAACAAGATAAAAGACAGATATTTCTATGTTTACTGGTCCCTAAGTGATATGTGATATAACTATTAATTTCTTTGTCTAAATTAATTACCACAAATGGTAAATAAAAGTGCAGTGATACATACACTGACTTCGCACAGAAACAGGTACCTCCCTGTACAAATACTAATACACACACAAAAACCCAAGAGAGCTATTACAAGCAGGGAAAAAATTAATATTTATTTTTCGGGGCTACTTTTCAAGCTTGCCTGCATGAAAATAACATTCTAAAATTTGTTTTGCATTGAACTCTATGCAAATTTACAGGGGCTCTTTTCTGATTTTCGGGGGCTATTGTGGGCATTTCGGGGGCTACTTCGCCCCTATCCCCCGTGTATTTTTTTCACTGATTACAAGTTTCTCTTTATAACAAACAATCCAGAAGAAGAGAAAATAATTTGAGGCCAAAACAAAATCATTTGGATGGCAAAAGACCTCTAGGCCTCCTGAGAAGGACATAAGATTTTGAAGTCAGTAGAACAGTCAACAGTGAGTGACTACTGCATAGCTATATGTATGCACTATTATTTTTCCAGTCACCATCAATTAATGTCTGGAGTACTAGCTACAACTAATGGGGGCAGAACTGGTTAGAGGAGGGGGTGCGTAGGGGGGGGGGAGCATTGGCACTCCACTAAATTTTTACTTGGAAATTTTGCTCATTCCTTCAATCAATTTTTGGCATTTATTTTTGTTGGTAGCAGAACCAGGGGAGGGCCCCGCCCCCTCAAAAACAGGCCAACACAACTGGCCACTCTACTCAGTCTGTTTCACAGACTACAAATAGCCCCTAACTCATATCAATGTTGACACACAGGGCATGCATGACCTTCAACACACGAGGGCAGTGTAGGGAACATGGCCGAGGGACCGACAGTGGTATTTTTGTTTACAATCACTGGTGATTAGTCAATAGGAGGGAATTAGATTACTCATGAAAATTTATCACTTAACATGCCCAGACACGTGCTAAGAGAGGGGCAAGGTACCAATTGTATGCTTATTAAAACGATTGTCCCATTAAACAATGCTGGATATGCACAGACAAAGACAAATAAACACTAATTTGATTAATAATAAATATTAGCTTTGAGGGTACATGAATATTTATTTCTCACGTCTCTCCCTGAGCCTGAGGCGTAGGTATTAACATAAAATAGATGATCTGATTCTGATCGCATGTGGGCTCGACAGCTTCTCTCATGCTTTGTAAAAAAAAAAAACACTAGGTCTGTAATTCACTTCTGGAAGCTCAAAAAGACATTTGGAAAAATCAAACGAAATATATAGCTTTAATAACTAAAAAGAAATCTCATATTATCCATAGAAAACATGGAAGGGTTATCTTTACAATGTGAATGATAACTGCATCAAAGTACATCTTGCAAAAAAATGGAATATTAATACACTTACTTACAGTTATCGGCTGTCTTAATGCATTTGGTATGTACAGTACATGTACATGTAAGCCTACAAAGAAAGTCAGTTACATCCCAGGAAGTCATGAAGAAAAGATCACAAAAATAATTGCACTTCGAGTTCACATTTCTGTGCAATGAAAGATACCTTGCTACCTCAAAAAACTTAATAAAAATGATGATCAAGTTTTTCATAATATGAAGTCATATCATCATCATGGATTGCTATTCACATCCAGACATACATGTATGTACCTATTATCTAGATAATCAAAAAGTCTAATGTGAACATACATGTAGGTACCTAACAATAATATTATTCTTCCAGTTTAAAATAATGGATACTTCCTCACAAAAACAACGACCTGGTTGAGATACCAGTAAACATGGCTGCTAGCAATTGTCTTTCATTCCCAAAAATTCACATCTCAACTACACAAGTACCTGGTATTTTTCTGATCAAGAACCCCCCCCCCCCCTCCCGTGCCCCTCCCCCTCCCCCTTTTGAACAGCAGGTGAGAGTAAAAGCTATATAATACTCTTTTCACACTGGTTTTGCTTAACACTGTACTTTGCTTAGCCCCGTACTATCCTTAACCCCGGACTATTTTTTGGGCTTTTCACACACGCTGTTTTTTAGTCCCGTACTAGCGCCTATTCCGGAATAAGAAAATTCCCGTTGTTCTCACTGCATTTCGTTAACCCCGGATATCGTGTATGTTATGATTGGACATACTTCGCATCTGGCCAGCTGCGATACGCTCCATTGCGTAGTACCGGACTATTTTTTGTTTCTGTTCTCATTCATTTGCTTAGCACCGCAATTGCGGGGTTAGCAGGAGTTAGCACCACAATTGCGGAGTTAGCCCTGCTATTTTGCAGGGTTAGTTAACCCCGTACTATAGGTGGGGTTAGCCAACTTTAGCCCACTTTGGTAAAAACCAGTCTGAACAGAAAGTGGAATAGGCTTAACCCCGTACTATAGGTGGGGCTAAGACCCCCCCCCCCCCCTTAACCCCACCTATAGTACGGGGTTAAGCAAAATATTGCCAGTGTGAAAACAGTATGAGTGTAGATTGCGGCCATTCTTGCTGCTGTGTTGATAACTCAGGTCAAAGTTCAAATGCATGAGTGAGGATTACTCATATCGATGGCATATTTGTCATACTCGCTCAACTCTTCCTGCATCTAGAGCCCAAATAAAATCCAGGGTTGAGGTGCGATAAAAGTACAAGATCCGGACCTCTCACTCACGTGGCCTAGTTTGCATGTGCAAACCATTTGGAGGGGAGGGGGGGGGGTCATTATTCAGCCTTTTTTCTGGGACTGTCCCAGGAAATGGCCCTGTCCAAGCATAATAAAGACTATGATACTGTGTATCATGCACAACCCATAGACTTGTGTAAACAATGCTCATAACTTCTTAATGAACTTTTGTCATGCAATAGATGAGTTTCATT